ATTTGTCAGTCTGAAACCAAAAATAAATAAAACTTATAACCCCTGTGGTTAGTATCAGAGTCCAATGGAACTTGCAAAGGACAGTAACTGAATGGCTAGTATATTGCTGGAACATATTCTCAAAATGACTTTGACCTGATTTGTATGTTTCTTCGGTGGTTTAGACACACTACAGTGCTGTATGTATCCAGTTCAGACATAATGGAGTAGAGACTAGGTCTTTACCACTTCTTTTAAAATCTGTCTTCAAAGTTTTTCAACCACAGTCAAGCTGAAGTTTCAGTTTACACCAAATATTATGGGGCTGCAATAACTTAGTGAGTTTTATGTGGGTGAACTTAAGTAGGAGGCACAGAAACCAATATAAAATAAGGAGGTTGGTTTGTACAATGTAATACATGAAAAACCAAAACAAACAAACAAACAAGCAAAACCCACATAACATGCAATTAGTGTGTCCTAACAAAGACTACAGATGAAAAACTTGGAAAAAGCACCATGCACAGACATCACAGTTTTCTATTCAAAACTTGGGCTTAAATGCTATAAATTACTTCCTAAAGCAATTATTTATTGTTTTTTCCATATTCTAACCATGAAAATATCACAGTATTGCATGTGCTGATACACTCTCTATGCTGAGATAATCCTAACTAGGTGAGAATCCTGTTTAAAAATTTTCGTAGCCATACTCAAATCAAATGAAACGGATATAGACATTGTAAGCTGTCACATTTCCAAATTAATATTTGTTTAATACAAGTTTGTGGTTAACTTTCTTCCAATATTGAAAGCTTTAAGTCTGCTCATTTAACAACTTCAAGATACCTTTCAGACATGGAGGAAACAAACAGTAACTTGCTGTATTTTTCCAACAAGTTTATTATTGCCATGGATCACATTTATGAAGATATCATAAAGTTACAAGGAGTTGTAATGAAAAAAAGCAGTTCCAACAATGTAATGTGGTCCATTACATGTTCCATATGACAACTTTATTACTGCACTGGACCAGTACTGCAATTACTAAAACGAAATATATTATCCATAACTTGTTTTCAGACAGAATGCAACAATAGACCAAAAGAATACTGCAAGAACATATTATTCTGTGACATATAATAATTATTTTGAGGTTACACAGCAGGAAAGGAAGCTACTGTAACTTAAAATCTGAATTTAAAAAAAAAAAACAGTAGCAAAAGGAAATTTAGCAATGGAAGCTGGACTATTGTTTAGTTATTACTGATGTCTGTTTGGGTTTTATAATTAGCATCTGTATTTTTTCTCATTATAGGTATTAATGTTCATTAATATATTGACAAAGATCAGAGAGTGTCAAGGTAGGACACACTGGTGCTATACACTACAGACTTGAAATGAAACGACAACCCATACCCAAAAGACCTTACAGTATAAGCGGAAGAGAACACATAACACATGGAAAAGGATTGTTAGGGAAGGCATGAAAACAGAATGTGAAGCAGAGGTCTGGATAATCGTGTGATTCACATTTTTTACATTTTATGCAGAATTCAGGAGAGGATAACTAGGTAGCTTTGAAACTGTTTATACATAGCTCTTCTCAAGCATGAGAGAAGGCATAAAGGTCCTTTCTACTAGATTTGAGAGGTAGACCATGGTCACTATGAACTGGGTTTACTACGAATAAATATTTTCATCCTTGCCGTGTGGTTCAGTGTATGACAGAACACATGTATTCTAAGAAGCCAAAAAAAAAAGGAACTGAAACGGAAAAAAAAAGAATTTTAAAAACTGAGAGTACGGTGCTTCTACAAATCTACTCAAAACAGAAAACCACAACACACATTATTTAAAAATACATTTTAATTAGCAAGTGGTAATCACACCATTGATTACTTTTATTAAGAAAATCATTCTCATATTTGCTTTTCATGTGTTTGTGTTAATATTAGAAAGTGTAAGTAAAATCAAGACAAAATGTAAACAAATTACAGATATAACTATGATACTTAATTAGATTTCAAAGCACACTTACAGAAAATTTGAGACAGCAAAAAGGAGCTAGGCATGCATTTTTTAACAGATGGTGTTAGATAAGGTCACACAGATATAATTGAGGTCAGAATTTGGCCACTGTAGGAACAGACCCTCTCAATAGAAGAGGTGAATTTCCTCCTGTGTTTTTCATTAATTACTCAGTGCCATCCAGTCAGTGTCGTCTGTTGTAGATCCTCTCAGTAATCCCTTTGTCCATGCAAGTCTTTCTCTAGAATATTCCTCCAATATTATGCTTTTGAACAAAAGTTCTCTTTGTGGAAACACTGATTTGCTTTTTATCAGCAGAGACAAAAGTCTACTAGTATCACCATTTATCTTAGCCATAGTATCTAAGATAACATTAAGTATTGGGGGATAAACAGATGAAGGTGTTCCATTGCTGAACAAGGAAGGACTTACATAAAACAACAGATAATCTTTATGAAAGTACAAAGAAATTTTAAACCCAAAGGCCAATCTTAAAATACTTTACGTCAGAGACAGAAGGTAAGTCAAGAGCCCAGATGCACGTAGCAGAACTGACTTGAAGAATTGTCTTGGACAGCTATTGCTCAAATTCTCCTTAGCTTTCAGCATGTAAAACAAGGGTTTTATTGACCTTGCTGTTGATTTTATACACTGTATCTGAGATCAGTATTTGCTTAGTGAGTTTTTTCACATACAGCATAAAAAAATATTATATTAATTGTATTAAATAACATTGTATACAGTAAAGCATAGACTCAAGATTGTGTTTATTTCTAGCAGGAAGTCGTTCACATTTGAAAGCCAGTTAGAAAGTGTGGCACAGAAATCAAACCAACTGACTTCCTACACGAGCCTCAAAGCATAATGTTTTGCTGTTTCAACTCATCCAACACATTCTCTCCACAGCTGTGCAGGCTCAGCCTGCAGATGCAACCATCACAGTCAATACTTGTATTTGAATGACATCCGTATTAAAGTGGTTTTCTTTCATAACACTCCATTTTATCTTGCCAAAAGAAAACTGTATTTGAAAAATATCATTAATGTATCCATTTTATGAATGTGTTTGATTATAATTTTCTTTTTACTTATTACTAAATTAATTTCCTGAAAATATTTTCCTCTATTTACCTTCAGCTAACATTAATTCAGATCTGTATTTTGGCCCTTTTCCACTGCCTAACAGCTTTACACAGAAATACATGACAGAAATATGAGCGGTGATATCAGAAATAAATCAGCTAACAGTATTTATCTGAGTAAAGATTTCTCTAGACTACTTGAAGTTTTGCTTTTGGGAACTAGCTGAAACCAATGCCATCATATTACTAAACTCAAACCTATTACTGTATTTTATTATTTTGTGACTTCTATAATAAAAGATAATACATTTCCTTTGTGGCAACCATTTAAGTCCAAAGTATTTGAAACATTTTCTTGTAATAAAAATAATATTACCTCAGGCTTTTTAAAACAGCTTGGGTGCATTCAAAATTTAGGCATGCTTATAAGCCTGATCTTGTCACACATGGGGTCCAAGTATCCCCTCTTTGTATAAATACAACCACCAGTGACATTGCTGCTAAAGTGGAATTGAGTTTGGGCCATCCTCATATTGGATGGAGTAATGAGGATGAGACAAAATAGTTTTGGGGAAAAAAAAAAAAAAAAAAGGTATAGTTTATGTCCTCTGGTAGAAGCAAAAGTCACCTTTTTTCATGTTGTTCAGAAATAATAGCTGGTTGATGATCAGAAACTCCTTGAACGTAATCAGCCCTGAACACGAGCTGGTGAATTACGCTTACAGGAGGCAAGCCCATAGACCTGGAAACTGTCAAGAGTGCCATGGCAACGGGTCAAATGGCTCTAAACTATTGCTAATGGTTTATAATGAAAAGCTGGAACGGCATGGGCAGAATTAAGAAATTACCTGGTATACGGTTTATGATTTCTATAAAGCAAGGCTTTTCACAAGTTTTTCCCTAAACTATTTGGCTGTAGTAGGTCCCAAAACATGCCCTTTGCAGAAACCATAGGGCACTGTTGACAAAAACATCCATGTTAACAAAGTGGCAGGTGATGTTGCAAGCGCACCTCATGAGCACAGATGATTACCCTTCCCCTGCAGCCCTGCGAGCACACAGACCCCCAGCACTGCACCCACACTCCAGCACCGCCAGCAATCTCATCAGTGGGCTGGGGGCCCCCACAAGCAGGCTGGCTGTAACACACATCCAGACACAATAAAAAGGGCTGCATCAAAAGAAGCATGGCCAGCAGGTCAAGGGAGGTGACTCTGCCCCTCTGTTCTGCTCTGGTGAGACCCCATGCCAAGTACTGCATCCAGCCCTGGGGTCCCAAACACAGCAAGGACGTGGAGCTGTTGGAGCACATCCAGAGGAAGGCCACCAAGTTGATACGAGGGATGGAGCACCTCTCCTACAAGGCAGGGCTGAAAGAATTGGGATTGTTTAGCCTGGAAAAAGCAGCTTCGGGGTGACCTAATTGCAGCTTTCTAGTACCTTAACAGAACTTATGAGAATGATGGGGCAAGGCTATTTACAAGAGTATGTAGTTACAGGACAAGGGGGAATGGGCTCAAATTGACAGAGAGTAGGTTAAATTACATGTTAGGAAAAAAAATTATTAGAAGGTGATGAGGCACTGGAACAGGCTGCCCAGTGGAGCTGCGGATGCCACATCCGTGAAAGTGCCCAAGGACGGGTCTCTGAGCAACCCGGTCTAGTTGAAGATGTCCCTGCCCATGGCAAGGGCGTTGGTACTAGGTGATCGTCAGCGTCCCTTCCAACCCAAACCATTCTATGCTTCTTTGAAATACAAAATGTATTTTCTTTTTATTCTGCTCTGGACCTCGGCCTCGGACCTTCCCTCGCCACTCCCTGGGCTCGGTAACCACACCCGCCCGCGGCCGGGCCGGGCCCAGCGCGCCTGCGCCGCCGCCGCCGCCGGGTTGGTGCGGGCCCAGCGGGGGCCGGGCCGGGCGGCGATGGCGGCGGGACGCGCCCGTGGCTGGGCAGTCATGCTGGTCCTGCTCCTCTCGCTCGTCGCGTTGCCGCTGCCGGGCGCCGCCTCGGCTGCCGCCCTGCCTGTAGTCATCAACACCTGGGCGTTCAGGACGGCCGCAGAGACAGGTGTCCCGCCGGGGGCTGGGGCGGGTGGGGCGGTGCCCTCCCGCTGTGAGGGGCCGCCGGGCGGATGCGGGCTTAGGGAAAAGTAAGCCTTGGAGGCGTGACGGGCTGGTGCGTGGCAAGAAGGAGCGAGTTGTGACCCTTCCGCCGTCAAGCGGCGCTGGGTGCAGCGGGCCCGGCCTCTGCTCCCCGCCTGCCCCGTCCCGGGTCAGGGAGGCTCTTGGAAAAGGGCTCGGGCACCGAGGCGCCAGGTTACTCCTCGTATGGGAAGGAACTTGCCTTCACACAGGTGGTTCTCTGACGCCGAGTCCTGGTGTGGCCTGAGAGCCTGCGAGCAAATGGTTTAACTTTCCTCGCTGGGAAAAAACCGCGTTTAAAACCAAAGCAAACCAAACCAATCAATAGAGAGGGGGGTTATGAACTGCGGATATGCTAGATTAAAGGCGTACTTTTTTTAATGTGGTTTGTACTGTCGTGGCTCTTTGAAGTGGTTTTTGAAGGTGTCCTTTTGAGATTCCTTCTTACCTCTCCAAGGATTTAGGTTGTTATGAATTTTATTTTTTTTTTGAGTTCCGTGTTCTGCGATGTCATTGACAGTCAAAGCACATTTTCCTATTGTGACATAAATTAGTTGTGAGTACTGATTTTAAAAGACTTGCAGGTTATTTTATCGTAGTCAAGTTGTAAATAATACCTTACTATGGAGTTGTTGCTTGTGAAATGGGTTACCTATAAAGCCTTGTATAGGTCAGAAATAAAATACGCTCATGAAAACTGCAAGGCCTTTTGAAGCTTCTGAAAGCTTGTGTTAAGGTTACTGATAGCAATAAAGGTAATAGGCATTGGAGCAATACTCCTCACACTGAAGTTTGTAATAAAAGACTATCATATGTGGAACTGGATGCATGGCATTAAGTCTTACTTTTCCCCTGGTGCAGGAAGCTTCATGCAATTGCATGCAGCATTTGTGATGATAAGCCTTCATGAGATGGTTGAAACAGTCTTTTACTTCTTGAGATGTGTGCATGTGCTGCCTCCCCTGTGCTGCGTCTGTCAGATGATGGAGTACCAGAGCCAGCACAAGGAGGAAGTAGGACTGCAACTAGCAGTGCCAGCAAGCTCATGCACTTTGGAAAACCATGTGAAATCTCATATGTGCAATGCCTTCAGGCTCAGCATATTCAAGTCATGTAATTTGGCATGTCTGTAATGTCTTACAAAGCTGCACCATGATACCTAGATTCAGAAGAGCAGAAGACTAAGGGTTGGACAGGAGAATGGAGCCTAATTTCTTATATACTGTTGCCGCTTTGGTTTTATGCTTATGTAGTTACTGATGTAGGTTTAGATCTTTTTATTCTGCAGCTGGACACTTACTATTCTTATATGAAGCTTTTGAGGACTGCCTTTTTTTTGCCTTTTTTTTTATTTAATGAGACGAAAATTTTGTTTCCCTTTCTCTCTCCTCCCAGAAGGCTTTAAACAAGTAGTGATAAAGTAATAATTGGTTCTGGGCAGAGAAGGTTATTTGATGTATAGAAGTCGTGATGATTGTTAGTAAATAACAGAAGAAAAGCTTAGTTTCTCAATCAGAAACACTAATCAGACATGAAAGAAAAACAATATTTAGAAAATTGATGTTTTACATTCTTTCAGTTGTATTTATATTTTGACTTTATTTCGTCTGTAAGTTATGGTTTACTTTTGTTTATCCACTTAGGTAGTGCATATGCATCACGTCCATCTTTAGAACATTCTTCAAAGCAGTAGTGGAGACTGTTTTCCCTGGTAACATTTAATTATTTGTGTTGATTATAGCTTGGAGAGTACTCCAGTCGGGAGGTTCTGAGCTGGATGCAGTTGAGAGGGGTTGTGGGCAGTGTGAGATTGATCAATGCGATGGGAGTGTGGGATACGGAGGAAGCCCAGATGAAAGTGGAGAAACAACTCTGGACGCAATGATTATGGATGGGTAAGGAAACTACGTGGAAGAAAGAATGATCTCTGTAATTGTTAGCACATTTAAGGGTTGTTACAGGATCTTGTTGCTTTGAGGCTATCCTGTGTGACAAGTTACGTGTTAACTAGTGGAACTAGGAAAAATACTGACTGGTGGGAGAGTAGGTAACGAATCTTCACATGTAGTGCGGTAATCCAGTTCTAGATACAGAAGTTGCAAAGCATATGGTTTGTAGCATTGTTAGCTTTCCCTTTACATTCAGTCCATAAATATTTCCTTTTTGGAGGAGTTGTCTTCTGTAATTTATTTGCTATTTAAAGCTGTCCTGGTTAAAAAACGTTGCAAGTGTGTTGTTCATGTTGTGGGTTTATGGAACAAAATAGTTATTTTACTGAAAGTATTACTGTAGATGGAGTTATTGTTACTTGAGCAATATCTCCATGCCTGTGAAAGGAAACAATATATTTTTTCCCCTACTAGTGTGGTACCATCAGTCTATGGCATAGAACTATTAAAGCATTATGTTAAGGGAGCAGGCTTTTTGACTTAGAGGAGAACAGATCTTGTCTAGTAAAAAAGGCACAATTGTTTTTGTATTTTTAATAAGTTTTAAATATTTCCTGTTTCCAGCAACACTATGGAAGTTGGGGCTGTTGCAGGTCTCAGACGTGTAAAAAATGCAATCGGTGTAGCACGAAAGGTCCTTGAATACACCAAGCATACATTATTAGTGGGAGAGTCAGGTAATTATTCCTTTAACTGTTTCCGAGTCATACCCTTGTCTAAAACACTTTCTGGTAAAATTGCTGTATATTAATCGTGGTAATATAGGTGGAAGAATCACTTGACAGTAAAATCAATCTAATCTAAATCAGTCAAATAATTTAGAAGTGTTTATTTGCTCATTCTGTGTATATGAAATAGATTTATTTTTAGAAGAAAAAAAGCATAGTTTTATGGTTTTCCCACCAGAATAACTGCAAATATTAACTTGTAATCCCAAGGCTTTGCTAGTATCACTGATATCTGAGTTTTCAAAGATGATTTATTAAAAGACAATATGGAAACTGTTAGATGTAAATGTTGCATTTAAAACAGTAGAGTAACTTTTTCTGAGGAATGGCAGAATTAATAGACACTGCAGTTACATTTTACTACTTTGGTATATTTGGAGCATGATTATTGCATTTTATAGTTTAAAAATATTAGTGAGAACTTGAATGAAAAAAATTACGTCAGAGGCTGTACTCTTAGGCACAGCCAAAGAACAATAGCAAACTGGAGACTTAGTTGAACTTTTTAAATACAAGCTGCTGTTGGTAGAGTAATACCAGTTTCAAAAAGAGATATACCGTCCAGGGAGGTATGTGAGTAGTGAGTAGAAGGTTTCTTGGCTTAACAGTTAAGGACTTTGAAAAGGTATGTACCTGCTCAGAACGGAATTTGGAGATAAGTGTGGAAATTGACATGATCTGAGCATTAAATGGTGATTCAAGTGCTTTGAAATTGATAACAAAAGATAAAAGATTCTTGGAGAAGCTAATGTGTACAGAAGTAAGTGCAACAGCAGTTTTTTTGATTTAATCTTGGGAGGGGAGGACACTGTTTGACATGTTTGAAAAGAGACTTGCAGATTCTGTTTAATTTGAGAAGTGGACTAAGAGAAATTTCACAGGTGATGCAGGAAAAAAAATTGGTAGGTGTTAAATACAGAGGAAGAAATACTCATAATACTCTTTTCCCCATTGTTGTTAGTTACCAAAATATTTTTAAACTTTGATCAGTAGAATTAGCAGAAAAGATAATGAAAGTGAAGAAGCAGAAGAATTAAAGTGTTGATCTAAAATATGTTTTCCAACTAAGAAAATAGCTCTTTGCATAATGGAGGCATGTGGACAAGGTTGTTATGCTGAGTCCTTGCTACCAGTGAGAACTTCCTCGGAAGAAACTGTCTGGCAGTAGTGGCAAAAGAAAGACAGAAAAGCCAAAGATTTATCTGAGTAAAAATTGGGCATGATGTTTAACATTAGTGAAATAACCAAAGCAGTGGAGAAATTGAGGAAGAATATTTCTTGTGAAGAAATATATTTTCTGTGGAAATTGGAGCTTGGAAAAAAGAAACTGTAGTTTTCTTCATCAGGTGAAGATTGATAAAGAGGAAATACATTTGAATCTTCAAATATGCATGTGAGAGAAAGAACAGTTTATTTTCTAAATAAAAATATTTACATTTTCAGCGAGAATAGTAAACTCTTTTCATATAAATGCATATAGTCTCTGCAGGCAATTTTTTATTCAAGATGCAAAATTGCTGAGGTTATTCCATATTTTTCTCCTAGTAACTAAATGGCACTCTTATTTGAATATACTTAGCGATATAATCCAGGGAAGTCTTTGTGCCTCCTAAAATTGCATTTTTATGAGTAGTTGACACTGGAGAGGAGGAGGAGGCAAGCTGTGGCATGCATTAATTTTCTAATCACCTTCCTGTCCTTCATGTGCTCAGAAATTGTTTGCAGGGTTAGTTTTTCCTTTTTGTTCTCAGCGATCATGGATAGGCAGACCAGCCTGTAAGCCTGTAAATCCTTGGATTCTACTTCCTGCCAGTGGTAAAGCTTTCGCTGAACAGATATAGATAACTAGACTCATCAATTCTTGCACTGTTAAAAGAGCTGCTTTCTCCATTTGTTGCCTTAATTCTTTAAGGGTGAATCTTAGCAAACTGTCAATAAAACATATGTATATCAATGTAGGCTGAGTCTGGTGAGGGATATTCAGTTTGGGATGATTACAAGTAAGGGAGAAAAAAACCCTATTTTGGTTATTGCTTGCCAAGAAATTTTCTTGTTTGTCTCTAACAGGTAGGGAAGTTTCATAATCACAATGGGTCTGACCTTTTTCTCTTTTTTTTCTATCAATACTTAAATCAATAATCTAAGTAAAAAGTTAAGAGAGTAAAAACGACCAACTCTGCTTTCTGGAATAGAAACAATGCTTCAAAAGTTATATAAGAATTCCTGACGAACATGCACAATCACAATTTTATCCTACAAAGAAAAAGCAAAAAAACCCTAAACCCTGCCTGTTTGTTCTAGAAATGGGAAAATAAATATCAATTTAATTTGAAGCTGTCAGTTTTCTTTTCCTGAGTGCTAAGAAACTTTAATTGTGTCAGTTTTTAAGAAAAACATAGAAAAGCTGTGCAGAAATAATTCAAGGCTTCTCTTAATTCTTGGACTAGATAAGCTTATTCAGCTGTGTATTATAGGGATGTTATTATCAAGGATTGATAATATAAACTCAGGCATCGGAACCTAGCAACAGTATCTGCTACTGGTTAGTATCAAAGGTATTTTCAGATAAAAGATGAAAGAACAGTTGATCTTTTTTCTTCTCCCTTTGCCTAACGATAAAAGTCAGTCTTAGAAGTGTAGCACTCTTTCATTGCTTGTGTTGGTATTTCTTTTGCTCCCTTGGCACATACTATATTAATTTTCAAAACAAGCTGTCACTTTTCAAGCTGGAAGGAAGAAGTGTAGTATGATGTAAGCTGGTGGATTACTTTCTTCAAGTATCAGTGTTTTAATGGCAAATGTTATGCTGCTGGGTTACTTACATTTCATAAAAGAGTAGCTTTTTAAGGCAAATATATTTGTATCATTTGCTTAAATATTTCTGTGACCCACACAGCCCGGGCCACTCTTCCTTCAGTTCATTTGTGTCCAGTTGATTAACAGAGTTGAATTTGTTTCTCTTTTGGTGGTAAAACTTACATGTATTAACATAGTTACAGTGAATTGAAGAAATTTGATATTGCCAGTGAAGGGAGAGTTTGCTACTGCAGTTGTACATCACTCTAATGGCTGATACTGCTCCCTGAAGGCTTATTTCTCATCTCCATAAAGGATGTAGAATGTCTTGATTTCTAAAAAGCATAACATGAATGCATTATCATAAAATACATAAATCTGAGAGTAAATCAATGTGGTTTTTTTGTTTTGTTCTTGCTTTTCAAGCCTCCCTGTTTGCTGTAAGAATGGGGTTTCCATATGAAGATTTAACAACCCAGAAATCACTTTCGCTGTATTCAGAGTGGCTGAATCGAAGCTGTCAGCCAAACTACTGGAAGGTACAGTGCAGTGGTGGCAGTGAAGAGGGGGTTTAGAAATGTAGTGCAGCAATTGCCTCTTCCTTTCAGCTTATATTGAAGTTACACTTGACACGTGGAGAAAGAGAAGTTTCGCTTATTAAACAGAAAAGGATTGGAATTACCAAGCATTTGGTAGACTTGGGAATTGTATATGTCTAGTTCTTACTTCTTAGATCCTGCTGGTTTTGACCTTGCTGCAGTAGTGTTTTGGTGTAGCAATTATTTTTTATCCAGTTCTTAATTGGGACAGGACTTCTCAAGCTAAACACAGCAGTGTGTGTGTATTTTTTGATGCATGTATAAATTTCTGAAAGAAAATCTTACATTAGTAATTAAGGTGTCTAAATAGTTAGTTGTGAGGCTTCATGCAGACCTGTGAATACATCAGATTAGCACAGCTGTCCATTAAATTTGCCTACTGTGGTGAGGTTGGCTTGGTTGGAGAGTTGTTTTTTTTTTTTGCTTTGAGTGTTACAGATTTCTACATGTTTGTATTCTGTATTCATTGTTTCTTGAATAGGGAATGCTGCACTGCTGAACCAGTTTAATTCAGTTTTCATTTTTTTAATTTTCAAGATGTTTTCAGTTGGGAAAATATCTTGAGTATGATACTGACTTGACAATATCTTGACATTAGTACAAAAAGCTCATTTTATCTATTTGTTTTTTTGGCTTGAAAATTTTCTTCATTTCATTGAAGAATGAGCTACCTTTTTTTTTTTTTTTTTGACCACTCAGTTGAGCAAAAGAAAACCTTTAATTTTAACAACATAACTTTCTAGTAGGAAAACATTCTTACTATATTATACCAGAAATCAGTCTTTATTCTTTAAGCAAAACTATTTGTGGTATTTCAGTGCAGCTGTATGTTTTAAGTATTGGGCATCCTGTATGGTAGTTTATAGGTATTGATTGTAGTATTTTTAAATTTATCAGTATTGAAGTACATTATTCATGCAATTCACAGTTATTCATGCAATTACAGAATGTGGTACCAGACTCTTCAAAATCCTGTGGACCATATAAACGACCTGGAAGAGTAACTTATAAAGAAGAACAGACCATCTCACAAAGAAATGTTCAGAACCATGATACTATTGGTAACAACTTTTGGTAACTCTGATGCTGATTTTTTTTTTCTCATTCCTCTACAGATTAAATCATACTAATTTTAAAGAAAAGTATTTCATACAGTAATTATTTCCTGTTTATAGTGGTTTCAAGATTCTATTACTTATGTGTTACGATGGAGTGCCTAAAAGTAAGATTTGTTTCTGGTTTTTTTCCAGTGCACTGGCTGCACAACCACTTGCTTCATATTTGCCCTTAGCTCTTGTTCGTTGCCCTACTGCTTTTCTTGCAGATACCTTGGCATAATTGCTTGGACAGCTACGGATGCTTAGAAAACTGATTAAGGTTAAAAATAATTATTTTTATCTTGATTATGATGTTGCTTTAAGAACAACTTAAAAGGCATTACAGTAGTGGAAGAAATGAGTAAAAAGGTAGTCCTGTTGCCAGCTAAAAGCAATGTTTTTCAAACACTCTTGAAATTTTTAGAACAAAGTTTGCTTTCATTTTTCTTCTGTTCTGGCTTTTGACTAAATCAATGAATTTCTCCAGAAACTACTATACTTAAAACAGTTAGCAGTAGTAGTCCCAAAAACTTCTAAGAGTTTACTGACTGAGGACTGTTAATTGCTAAGCCTTTAAGTTGATTAAGGAGCAGATCAGACAAAGGACTAGAGCAGTTACAGATTCGTGACTTTTAGAGCTTTTTACTGTGTAGTCTTGAAACTAGCAGCTTTTGATTTAGTTTAGATTTTCCTCAGTTCATTAATGCAGAACTTTTTGCCTTATAGTATTTGCAATACCAAGGATTAACAAGTTGTTTCAAGTGTGAATCTTTTTTCTTTGCTTCTGGTAATAACCCTACTAATAACCAATTAATGTTCTCCAGAAGTTGTACAATCCCCCCACGTTCTTAACTTGATAGCTAGCTTACTTTACTGGCGTAAACAGTCTTCAGTAAGTGCTGGAAAACTCAGAAATTGTGACATGTCAGAAGAGGAGAATCTGGTAAATACAGTTCAAGAATTGATGTATCATTAAGTAGTCATAAGCTGTTTCGTAGTGAATGACAGTGGTTTGTATTAGTATTTCAAGTTCTCCCACCCCATTGTTTTAAATGTGAAATGTCTCTGTGACTGGCACATTTTGAGAAAAGTCTTCATTCATAATGCATGTTAAGATGTTGAAAGCACCTAATGCCCTTCCAGTCTTTTTGCATAGGACAGTCAGTCAGTGCCTCTATGCTTTAGTTTCTACTGGTCAGGAAACTTTTGTATCAGAAGTAGATACTGCCTGCTGAGGTCAGAGAACCAGAATTCATCTCATCACATTCTGCTCCTTGGCTCTCACTTTGTATTGCAGTTTTATGCTAGTGGCAATTTATACCCTCTCTTGCTCTGTGGAGGTGAAGTCTTGCTATATGGAGAAGCAGCTGATTCCAAATCCTGTTCCAAGTAACAATATAAACTTCTCTTGTATGAAGCAGTGGCTTTCTTATCAGCACAAAATTAGCAAGGGATAGGCTTATCCATCCATTTCGTTGCCTGTCACATAATTCAAGTTACTTTGGTAGTCAGTATGTCACTGTCTGCCAAATTTAAGCTCATCCTTCTGATGGTGTTTTTCTTTTTTTTAATTTCCTTCAAGCACTATTTATAATTTCCAAACTTTGTTGTTCTGATGGTATTGATGCTTGATGTGGTGACACCAGGTACTTGTTCTCTACTGGTTAACACAGATGTATATCAGGAGGCAGTGGCTGCTTGGGCAGCAGTAACATACAGCTCTGAACAGTGTGGCACTCACTGTTTTACATTTTTTTGAGCTATTGTAATACATCCTAAAAGTTTCCAAATGTCTTTTAAAAAGAACATGTTTTCCTTAGGAGTACAACTCTTTTGTATTTCAGTGTATCACTAATTTAAATACTCTGTGCATTGGGGTTCTATTTTATAAGCATAGTACCAATTAAATAAAATTCAATTTAAATATGTTTCATCCTGTTGCAAATCTTAGGTATGGTTATAATTGGTGTGAATGGAACCGTTGCTTCTGGGACATCTACTAATGGTGCAGTCCACAAAATTCCAGGGTCAGTATCTCTGGTTTTACAAAAAAGTTTTTTCCTCACATTGTTTCCTATATTAAGCTTGTCATGGTGTTGTAAAACATTAACATTTAGATCACAAAATGGCCTTTACTTATTTCTGTGCACTGCCATAAATCCTAACACTGATTGAGTTGCAAGAGATTTGTGTTTGTTTGAGGGAATGCTTGTTTTTCAGCTGGCTTACTTCACCATACAGAGACACAAACAACTGGCACAGTTTTGAGACAACTTGTAAGGCAAGGTACCAGAGACAAATAAGCATTTTGGAGAGGTGCACAGTCTCCAAAGAAATGTACATAAAATCAGAGCCCCAGGCTTGTGTTTTGTCTTTGAGATACTTCTTCTACCCAGTTAGAATTCTTTTCTGTCAACCAAGTCAGACAACTTCGGGATTGAGCAACACGTTATTGAACATATTAATGTCCCCAGCTGCTTACTGTTGCCCACAGGCTAAACCTCACTGGCCAACTATGTCAGTGTAATAACAAACAGTTGTGCATAGGAGGTGGATTAAGCCTCAGGTCAGTCAGGTTATCACAGATCACTCTTACTGGTAGTTTTAAGATGACTTCTGAGTGCTGTGGAGTGACCTTTTTACCTGTTCTGTTCTCCTGTGTATTTAACGCTAAGTCAGCTGGAGGCAGTAAGTCTGACAAAGTTGGGATTTTATTTTCCATTGTTCACTACAGCCGTGTTGGAGATTCTCCGATAGCTGGAGCAGGATCCTATGCGGACAGTACAGCTGGAGGAGCTGCTGCCACTGGGGATGGTGACATTATGATGCGCTTCTTACCCAGGTTTGTCCTTAGGGTGGACTTTGCCAGCTTTTCCCAGCAAAATGTGGACTCAGCAAATGAAGTAATTGATTAAAAAGACAGTGTAGCTTACTGGCTGCTGAAGCGGGAGCAGAGGAAGGAGGGGAAGGGGAAGGAACAACAGCAGTATTAAGGTATCATTATGATGTGCCTTAAAAGAAGACACAAATATCTTGATGACAGATCCCGTAATGCTGCTGAGCTGTGAGCAAACAGGCAGCTGGTAATGAGTATATTTCCAATCTATATGCTTTTTAACAGAACTGATTAGCTTTCTCCTCCAAAGTGTTTTGTTATGTGGGAAATAAGTATCATAAATTGCAGAGAGGAGGAGGTGGCGGCATGGGTCTCAGATTATTCAGGAGGATGGGGAGGTGTCACTGCAACAATCCTATGTAATTGCATCTAATTTGAAACTGAAAGAGTTGTTTTAGTGCTGTCATCGTGGTTCTGTAAACTATGTGAAATATGGCTGTTTTCATCACTGAGTCTTGACAGTCATCCTTGTGGGTCAGTCTCAGGAATGTTATGGAAATCCGTCCTGTACATAATGGGCTCAGATGCTTGAAGGACTGTATAGAAGCTCAGGTGCTTTTTCAGTGCTGAAACTGCGAGCTGTTGCATATTTACAAATGTCCTCAGTGAAATTCAAGCTGTTCCAAGCCAGTCTTGAAATAAATTATCTGTCCTGTCATGGTGGATAGCAACAGCAATAGTGACTTGAGCTCCACTATGAGTTTAGTCAATAAAAACTGGTATTACACTTTAGCAGCCTGAAGTATTTGGCTGTAATACTTAAAACATTGTGTTGGTACAAGTGCGTTTTAGAAAACAACTCAGCCTAGATGGTTAATCACTGCTTCCTTGTAGATAAAGATTTTTACTAAATCCATGTTACTTAGATATTCCCATGTGGAAACAAAGACTAAAATTGACCTGCCAGAAGTGAAGGAAGTGCCAAATAAAGGGAAAAATTGCTAATATTTGCTCTCTACCTTCTTTGAGATAGTAACTTCTGATTGAGTTTTTGATTAGTGAAGAGACCCCTGTGAAATATAGCTTTATATTCGGTCAGTTTTCTTTAGCTAAGTTGAATTTATTTGATTGTTAGAATAAGTCAAAGATAATAGGGAGTCTAAAAATGCAAGAGAAGTTCTTGTCTGCAGTACTTTGATAACACCTGTAGTTAATGCTATCTGTATATCTCTTAGTGTAGCAGGAGTTAGTCTTGGTACATGCGTCTTTCGTCAAAGCAATCTAATGTTGTTTGCTTGTAAGTTATATCATATGTTGTCATTTAATCTTCAGCTTCTGAAAGAAATTGGTAACAAAACTAATTTTTTACCTCTGAGGACATTTTTGAAATGCAACGGATTCATCTCAAGCATTTCCTGTATAGTCATTTGTCTAATGATACTGTAGATAAAAAAAGAGTTCATCACTAACTCTTTAACAGCTTCTTTGCAGTTCTTTAACTGATCTTTTGCTTAGCCTCTTCTGCAAATGATCAGAGTTATCTCTTGGCTTGGTCCTGCCATAGAACAATAGATGGTATAGATGATATCTTGCAGTTCCTTTTAGTCCTATTTTTTTAATGACTTTTTATGTAGAACTTGAGTAATAATTGCCAATACAAAGATGGCCTAAAAATTACTTACCATGTGTTTCCATTATTCAAAGAAACCAAGGTCTCTTCAGTGGTGTTTTAGAATATATAACCTGAGTATGGCTGTCTGGGTATGGGGTCTTTTTTTTTTTTTTTTTTTTTCTTTTTCAGTTATCAAGCTGTGGAATATATGAGGATGGGAACAGACCCAACAGTAGCCTGTCAGAAAGTTATTTCCAGAATCCAGAAGTATGCTCCGAAGTTCTTTGGTGCTGTCATTTGTGCCAATACAACGGGAAGTTATGGTATGTATTTTGCTTTGCAGACAAAGGTGCTTAACCCTTACTAGATCACAGAAGTACAAAACTGAAGGTGGATTTTAAAGCAGAAGTCTTTAATTATTCTTTGAGGACTGCAGTAATACTGGTCGTTCGTAGTACTAAATGCTGGTTATTAAGGCAGCTGTGACCTGGTGCGAACTGGGGGTACTGTCGTTTTCCTGTGCATTTTGATGTCTTGGACTTACACAAAATTCATGGAAGGCTTAGCAAAAATAAAAAATATTTCCAATCTTTATGTGTTTTCCTGGACTGCGTATGATTAATTTGAAGGTTTTAACGAAGAATTCTTATGCCTTCCCTAGATGTGGTAAGAGGGAGGGAGAATGTGAATGTTAAGCATGGCTTCAAAGCTTTCCAAGAGCAGTCATTGTGCCAGGCATCTCATTAGTGAACTCTTAGATCAGTATGAAGTACAATTTGCTAATCAACATGGATTATTTAGTTAGACTGCTTATTGCTATTCTTTGATCTATTACTTCCCATAGTTCTGTGTTTAAGAGATTAGTGTTGAAGGAACTCATTAAATTAATCAGGACTGAAAGAGAGAGATATTTTCCTAACTTGCATTACTATTTTGAATTGTATTATAAGGGCATTAATTGCACTACAGCAGTCAGTGGTACTGTATTTTAACTTAAATACTGTCAAGACGTCTTGGGTTAAACAGATAGTAAAAGAATAATTACACCATTGTAGTAGAATTAGTAACTGGGTCTTTAGATGATAAAATACAGTGACAGAGACACTAATCCCAAATGTAGCATGTTATAATTTTTTTCTTTCTTTCCTAGGTGCTGCATGTAATAAAATTCCAGGATTCACTCAGTTTCACTTCATGGTTTCTAGCCCTTTGCTAAATCGACCAACTGAGAAAGTCGTAGATTGCATTTAATTTCTTCTGTCCAGTTAGCATCTCAGTTTAGAAGAGGAAAGTGCTAAGATTCCCCAGGAGTTACTTTTTAAAATGGTTGTTTCAAGCATCTAATAGCTGGAACAGTCTGTTTGTTTTCCTGAGAACTGAGTAGCTAAAAGTAATGAATAGTAACCATGGAACAAGACCTTTGCTTTGCCATTTAAAAACATATTTGTCAGAAATCTGGAGTAAAGGGCTGGAATTATAACTCTACACATGATTATTTTGAGAATACCTAATTCTCTTTCTAAGATTTAGTCTAGGTTTTCTCTTGAAAATACAACTGCATAAAAATGCTGACAAGCAAGGAAAGGGGGTTGAAGAGTGGTGGAGACTATTTCAAAGCCTTAATGAAGAGATAAGAACCATCTCCTTTTGGACCATTCTGACTTGTTTCACAACAGCTGAGAATACTTTTGAATAGAGAGAACGTGTAAGCATCCGTGGTATTACAAACCTTCAAGGAATATTGTTTAATTCTGACTGGATGTGAAGACATCTGGAAGTCTTCCTGTCACCTGTTTTTTGTAGTGGAAGTTAAGTTATGAATCATAGTCGCAGTGATTTCTTTCACTAATATTCTGTGCACTCACCCTTTCCTGTAGCACATTTACCCCTGCAAAGGCACAGTTAAATACCTAGAGTATGACAGTTACCTACAGTTTGGGGTTTTGTCACTTTCTGTGTCTAGAGACAGAAGGATTCATTTGTAGAAGAACTCCAGCTCATGAGGATTGTTCCATAGGTATTTGAAGATCTGTTTGATTGTTCTCTTAACTTGGCAGCCTGCTGATCATTTGATTGAATCTGTTAAACTTGAGCTAGGAAAAGGTAAAAGGGGGGAGCAAGTAAAATGAGTGTCTTGTCACTTTAATTTTTCTTTGTCTACTTGAATAAAATGATTGAGTAATAAAAGCACACCTTTATGTATCATCTGTAAGTAAGTTTGTTTAGATGCTTGTCTACCTTAGAGTAATTGTTCCCTTGTGTTCCAAGTTGGTATCTTTAAAAGCTGGAAACAAACCGTTCAAACAAGAATAGCTATTTTGAATGGCCTGCTGTTGAAATTCATCAACAAAGGGATTTATTCAGAGGATTCACTTCTGTCACTGGATCTTGTAGCACAGAATTCACTGCAGGCCACAATAAGCTTTTATCAAGTGAAGCTCCAAGTGAATATATCTGTAGTGGTTTAAGATAAGTTTTCTACCTGTCCTACTTACAATCTGCCATGGCCGCTCTATCTTCAGATAACCCAGGCAGTCAAGTGCAAATAGATTAATAAAATCCCAGTGATTTTTATGCTGAAGATTGCATTGTGGATTATAAACATAGGAGGTTCAGTAGTGGGAGCTGAGCAGTAATGTCTCAAACTGCTGTAGTTGAATCCACCAGGACTCAGTCATGAAAGAGGTTGGGAACATCCATGGCATGCTTTCTGGTGTGCTTATGTCACTCTGTGCTAGTGAGTGTGTGCCAGTGGAGGTTATGGGTGCCCTGTAACAGTGTACCTTGAATTCACTGTTGCAGTGATAACTCCCTGCGTAGTGAGCTCCTCTGTGCTGGACGACAGCTGGCCAAGAAAGCCAATGGAATCCTGGCCTGTATCAAAAATAGTGTGGCCAGCAGGACTAGGGAAGTACTTGTCCCTCAGCACTTGTCCCTCAGTACTTGTACTCAGCACTGGTAAAGCCACACCTGAAGTGGTATGTCCAGTTTCGGGTCTTTGACTACAAGAAAGACACTGAGGTGTGGGAGCATGTATAGATAAGGGCAGTGCAGCTGGTGAAGGGTCTAGAGAGTGAGTCATATGAAGAGTGACTGAGGGAGCTGGGATTGTTTAGCCTGGAGAAAAGGAGGCTCAGGGGAGACGTTATTGCTCTCTACAGCTACCTGAAAGGAGGTTGTAGCAAAGCAGGGGTCAGCCTCTTTTCCCAGGCAACTAGAGACAGGACAAGAGAAAATGGCCTTAAGCTGTGCCAGGAGAGGTTCAGGTTGGACATCTGGAAGAATTTTTTCACAGAAAGGGTGGTCAGGCATTGGAATGGGCTGTCCAGGGAAGTGGTGAAGTCACCATCTCTGGAAGTGTTCCATAAATGACTGGATATGGCACTCAGTGCTACAATTTAGTTGGTGGTTTTTGGTCAGAGGTTGGACTCGGTCTTGGAAGTCTTTTCCAACCTTAATGATTCTATCTTAATTACTTGTCTCCATGAGACATAGATACTAATCCATGTGGTTTGATAATGTAGATTGTTTTATGACAAAGAGTTATAAATGAAAGGGTTAATTTTTGTAAATGATTTTGATATATTGTTAATTTCACAGTATATTATAATACCAAGAATGTACCATTCTGCTGTTATGTGCAAAATTCTGAATTTAAAAAATAAAATGCTTAATATATTGTCTTTAAAATATTTCTTTAAATGTTACTAGTGGTGTCCTGTTATGCTTAGCAGACACATTAATTTTTTAAGAAAGATAAATATCAAATACAAACTCTTGCCAAAAGCAAGCAAAAGCTGTGACAGGTTCCATTGGTATTGCAAAGAAAAAAACAAAAAAACTGTTTTCTGTTTCAAGAAATTTTGTATTTTTAAGTTTTTACTCTCCAACTTTTACTACAAAAAGCAAAAAAACCTCTGCAAATATGAGCATTTGTGATACAATTGAATGCATCCTGTCTGTAAAGTTGTGGAATGTTTTTAAGTTCATTAACTCCTAGCTAGCCTGCTTTTTTTTTCTGTTTCTAAAACTTCTTACCAAACTAATGCTTTTAGTTAAAGTAGACAGAGGAAGAATCTTAGCTCAGTGGTCTGACTAAGAAAGCGAACTATGCCCTCTTTTTGCACGGCATCGAATTGTTCTTTAATAAAGCAATCTGTGTGAACCCTGACAATGTTTTGTATGCACTTATTGAAGAAAACTTCCTTATCATTTCACCATTTGTAGGTTATCACTGAAATGCATTCCTTCATCTGTAACTGCCTCAGTCGGGAACAATTCAGAGTTTCAGAGAATTCAAGGTTGATCTCAGACGGAATCTACAAGTAGTACTGTATAAATAGTGAATCTATTATCTCTTCACGGAATAAAACCAACAGTGATGCTGAAATTCTGTTAGCACTTGTTGTTTGGGTTTGGTTATTACATGACTGCTATAACTCACAGCACTGTTCATTCTTGTTTTGAAACAAAGTTTGTGCAGGATTTAATTGCTATTATCTGTGGTCTGTGTGTGTGAGGAAACATCAATGATAGAGTTAAATTTATTCTAGCTCTAATTTACAGCAGGTATGTTACATGTGAGGCACTGAACTGCAAATGTTCTCACTGAGGGTTCTGTTCATTCCTCCATCTGAGTTCCATTAAATTTACAACATTGCTTATGTGTGATCTGATGACTGCATTTGCAGATTGCGTTTAGTCTTCATAGAATGTAAGAGTAACTGAACAGGTAAAATGCATTTTGATATTCTGACACTTTAATTTTTTGGCTTTTTATTACTTCAAGTTCCAAATGTTTAAGAAACTTCTTTATCGAAGGTTCAGTAACTTGAATTCACAAATGTGAATAATCTCAGTTACAAGTGAGCTTTTTGTAAAAAATTGACAGCTTTTTGTAATTTTTTTCCTATTGATTAATTTCTTCTAAAAGGAATAAAGTTATATATATACACCTAGACATTTACAGGTTACAGTGGTATTTCATAATATTATCTGAGGCAATCATAATATTAGATAAGATTGTAATTGCAAAACTGAAATGAGAAATATAAACTAAGTAATTTGTCTCACACAGAATTTTAGGTTCTAGGTGTTTTATTGTTTGAAAGGCTGAAGAATGTTTACCTTCATGTTAATTTTCACAGGTTTTGCTATCACATTTCTTTTGCTCATGGCCTTCACTCAAACTGTGGTATATTTCCTCTGTTGTTTCGTGGGACCTTGACAAATTAGATTCTCTTCAGGACTCCTTCTTTGTGGGATAAACAGGGTTTTTCAGCAAGTTGTTTTCATTTGTAACCCAAATTCTCCTGCATGCCTTCCTGCCCCTCACTCCTGCTGCATGCCAAAATAATTTCATCTGTGGCTTAAATTACATTTTAGGATGACTTTTGCTAAGGGTCAGTGTTGCATGCTGCTGATGCCATTTCACAAAAATTTCAAAAATCACCTCCATACCAAATAGATACATAGGTTGCACTTGCTGCAATCTACAGCACTTGCTGTAATCTACAGACTCTCTGGTCTATCTAAAACCTTCTTCCCTGTAAAGGCATGGTGCTTTTCCTACCTCCTTCCTCTATAATCAGAAGAATCCTAGTGGTGTTTTTCCTGTTCTACTGCCATTATTGGTGCTTTATACTTGTTTGAAATGTGGAGTTTCCTCTATATTCATTTTGCTTTCTTTGCTGTCAGCAGACCTGTCTTAACAGCTTTCTTGACACATTCTGACTATACCCATCCAGGTTCAACAGTTGGTTAATTTTCTTTCTGAAGTTTGCTTCATACATGATTCATACGCAGTCTCCATGATGTAGACTGTTTTCTACATGATGTAGGCTGTGTTGTATTATTATTTTGTCAAGTGGTATTTGGTAGGGAGGATCCCAGTTCTGAATGTTTGAATTCTTACAGGTGGGATAATTACTCAAGCAGTAGATTTCAGTATCGCAGTATAAACAGATTTAGAATTACACTTAGCTGGATCATGAATGCTTATTGTTCATAAGTAGAGGCTTAATGGCATATGTGATTATTCATTAAATACAGTGTGACAGGCTATTTGAAAATAAGAATGGTTGTGCTTGCTAACAATACTGCTCCTGGATAGTCTTTGTTATGAGATAAATTCCAAGACAAATTATCATAGATCATCTGGGAGAATTATGGTTAGGTTGGCAGGCTGATACATAGAGAAGTAAAAAGGAACTACAACTTCCCATAAATTAATATTTTCATCTGTAGCACTTTTCCTGAGCATTGAGGAACAATGTAGAACTGACAGTTTCCTACTTTTCCTGTGTAATCGGTTCTTCAGTTATGCGGTTTTTTTCTGACAGATTTACAGTAATGGATGTAGTAAAATATTATAAATTAAAAGAGTGGATGTAAAAAGTATTATAAACAAGTTTAATTCATATGCAGTCAAGTGTGTTTTGCTAATTTGGTTGTTACTGAAGACTAATTTGTATGTTATAAAGTAGAAAATAAATTATGTTGGAGTAGCTGCAGTGTTAATGAACTGTAGCTATTTAAATTCAATCTGTATCCATTCTTACAAATCTGTCAACACAAAAAGTCCTAAGATCTCACTTCTCAGCAAGAGTTATGACAGTTTTTGTTATTGCTTAGTGACAGTGCTAGCCCGCAAAATGTGTTTTTCAGGGTAACATCGCTTTGTCACATGAGCTTAAGAATTTGTATCAGCCTTTAACCGATTTCTGCAGCGCTGCTTCTCCCTGCCTGCTCTGTTTGTTTCCTGGAGATTGCTGTTCCAATACCAGGACTGGCAGACCAGGGTGTGCTTCATGCCAGATCCAGCAGTTTAACCTTTCTGACCTCCATCTGCACCTTGCACTGAGAATAGCAGTTGCTTGCACCCCATTCCATCAGCTCTGCTGTGGGGTTCATAACTTCTGAGCAGCAACAAACAGCTCCAGGGCAAGTGGACTGTACTTTGTTTGTTGGGAGAGTATGCATCAGGTATACCATCCTTTTACTGATAGTTACAGCAATGGTAATAAAATCCACTAAAAGCAACTATACCGAACGAGGAACAATTAACTAATTAATTAACTAATAGTGAAGTGCTGAAGACAAGGTTATATTTTAAGATTTGTTCCTCTCTCGAAAATGATTTCAGCTGAATAAAGATTTTGCTGCCCCAAAAATGTTGGTACTACCCAAATCCTTCAGTATGTGTTCTCTCTTCAGTGATGCAGGTGGTTCTGGTGATTGTGCATCTCCACAAAATGGATCAGCTTACTGCCTGGCTGAAAACTATTATTTTTTTTCTTTTTCAGAATGTGAGTAAGCAAGCTGTTCTGTTTTACCTTACGGCCACACAGCTGCTAACAGCAACAGAGGGTAGACTGCAGGAATATGCAGTAGGGCACTGAGGAGCATGAGAAACAATCCAGCTGGTGACAGCACATACTTAGTTTGGCAGAAGACTGTTCAAACTTTTCCTGTAGACTAAAGTAAGGTGCTTGTCTCTCTGCAGTTTCATGATTTAACCCTCAGGCTAGATGCCTATCTACTATTTCTCCCCAATAAAATCAGTAAAAGGCATTAGAGTCAGGGAGTATTCTTGTGAACAGGCTATTGTCATGTTTCCCATATTCTCTCTTCTGTCATGTAAATACTTAGTTATCTACTATAGGTTTCGCATTTTCAGGATGGGAAAGGGCAAGGACCCCACACAAGTTTTTTCTGATCACCATCTCTTAAAATGTGATTTTGAATTTCTGGTGCCTGAGGAGGCTTTACAACTTAATCTTATACTTAGAGCATCTGCTGTTACTACAATGCTTTATGAAAATGTAAGCACCATGAATTCAGTCTCCTTGACTGGCTATTTAATTGAAAGTCACTGTGAAATGTGCTTTGTGTTAATACCACTGTGTTTTGGACAGACTATGATACTGGACTCGTGGGGATTTCTGTCACAGGAATGTCTGGTTAGTGAATCACAAAGAATTTTAGGGAAGAGACAATCACCAGTATACTCAGTGGAGCTAAGATAACATCTGCAGGCACATTCAAGAATAGAGCTGTAACCCTGTAACTTAATTTGAAAAATCAAGACTCTTTCAGACTTGAGAATAGAAGTTTGATCTTGCATAAAGTTATACTTTTATAACAATAATGTAGTGCCTCACTATGAGAAATGTAAGTGCTAATGCCAGATAAATATTCCAACTGTCATTTATAATTATCATTTTTGTACTTTGGTCAGGCAGCTATTCATAGTATGCCAATCAGTGTCAACTTAACCATTATCCTCTACTTTGTAGCTGTGATTTTTCCAGACTTAGCATTTGGGAAGAACTTCAAATGCATACTAGAATTTGAGGCAATCCGGTCATATAATAGACTGTCTCATGTAAGTGCCTCTAAAGTATTACTCACAATGAATAACAAAATCACTGAACAATACAGAACTACTGAAGCCTTTAGTCTCAGTGTAGAAAGATTAGAGTACTCCATCCTTAGAAAGGAAAAAGTTGCCCTTTCTTGGGAAAATCCAGAAGAGACCTAGGTACCAGAGTCCAACATTTTAAGATTTATGAGAACCTCTGTGCTTTGTATCAGGTGCTGCTTTCTATCTTTGTAGGTATCCCACATCTGTATGCATTTCTGTTAGTGGGGTTGCATAAAATCAATAGCTTCTAATGCAAGGAAGCTAACAGGCTCACAGGCTCTAGTCATCCTCTTCTAACCCCAGGGCCTTGTTGGATGGACCTGCTGACACAGTGAGTGCTGATCAGCAGACAGTGAGTTTGTGCATCTGTGGCTTGCTGCATTTGTTTGTTGTAATCACTGTGCCACGATATGTGAAACATGAAAATCTATGTTCAAATAATAAACCTGACTGATTCTCCTAGAACACTGAGGCCAAAGAATCTTTTCGTCCTCATTTTCCTTTAATAAGTAGCAATTCATTTATTTACGGTGAAACACGAAATGGTAAGAAAGATAGTGTGTGAAGATCTACTTCACTGGGAAGATGGAAGATTCCATGAGGATACACACCCTGACATATGTCTGTTCCTGTCACTACTGGTTAGGTAGCATGCGGTACCAAGCATGTGGTAAGCATTCCTTGAGTACCAGCAGAGCTCAGAAAACAGAGCAGGTTCCTGAGCGGCTCACTAACAACAAGACATTAAGGGCAACTTTCTAGTGAGTAAAAATAAATGTAGATTTCTGACATCAAGGATCTTCTATCAGTGTGGTTCCTTAAGTTCCCATCTCTTAAATTTTCATAGTAACAACTGTCTGTTCCCAATGATGTTATAAAGGCACATGACTTAATACTGGATGACTAACAGCATACCTATATCATGCTGAACCACCACAGAATTACAAACTAGGCATTCTCTCATACCTATGAAATGAGTAAATTTTATTCTCAAACCAGATATGTGAGATTGCCACCCTAGGCACAACCCTTCCCTTTATGCCATCACAGTGTGAGGCCTGCCATCCCCTGCGTGTGGAGAATGATACAAACCTCTTCTTGTTAAACTATTATCAAGTTTTGATATGTAATGATGTTCTGGCAATGTTAGCAGCCTATCCATAGAAGAACAATTTACCAGTTATCATTGTAATCTGAGTAGTGAATTAATGATCAGGAAATCTTTCTTACATTCC